AATACTAGCTCCTCTAGTAGTTCCTTCGAACTCAACTGCACGTCTCATCATTTTAAAGACCATAATTTCCTCTTGAAGACAAAATGTTATTACTCTTATTTGTAATTCTTTATTATTTATGTTTAATTTAGATTTTCCTGAGTGATGTATAATTTTTGGAAAATAGTTGGGTTGAAGTGGAAAGACCTTTGATGGTAATTCTTGGTTTGGCTGAGGGTGCCTAAGGGAGTGGGTAATCTGACGTTATTGAAGGATATGGCAGGATGTGGCTCCTCTTTTATTTCAGTTAAGATGGATGGTAAAGTGACGGATAAATAAACTGTACAGATTTGATCCCAAAAGAAAGCGTATATAATACCTACATTTTTATTGTTCACCTCAGTCTCATCTTTCAATATTGGAGCTCGCTCACACTGTGCACTTTCTCATCAGATGCATTCACTGCAGGAATTGTATAAAAGACAAATATGCCCCTAGGGTGAAACTCCTTCAAGAACAATTTATTTCAAATGCAATAGAAAGACAGTTGATTGCACTGGCGAATGTAGCCAATCAAAGAAATGTCCAGTGTAATAACTGCATTCATTACTTATCTGAACCAAGAGTGACATTACCATTGTAAAAGCTTGCGCAATTAGCAAACTCCATTCATTATCTGTACGAGCCTCTAAAAGAACAATAAAGATATGAGCAAAGCCCCATGCATAGAGCAATCTTGACTATATTGCTGTTCTCAGAAGCAACATTTACTGCTTCTCTTCATAAATTTAATATTTTGATAGCTTTTCCCCACCATAGATGCGTGAAACTGCCCCAGTGAGTCTCACTTTCATTAACACACTCAAGTGGATTTTGTATTATCCAGTCAATGAAAGGGGTCTTTCCCATGAAGGAAAGATAGGCAATTGTCCAATTGAAATGAACGTGTCGTTTTTCCAGTGGTATTCGTTGTTCCTGGCATCTCATAATACATGTCTCTGATGTACTCAGTAGTTTACGAAGCTCATGAATTTTGAATGTTGTTGCAGATTCTTTAGGAATGACTTAATTTGGTTGTTGCTGCCCAGGATTTTCAAATTTACGCTGACAGAAATACGCCTTCCCAGACACAGCGCACAGTAAAAAAAAATTCCATTCAGCACCGCTTCCTCTTAAAATAAACAGGGCGACAAAACTCAGAAGTTTAGACGGCTGATGGTATAATGCTACTAGTATGTAAAGGCACAGTTTAGAACAATGCAGACACTGTGTTTTCTGTTGGAACTGAGCTATAAATGGAGGCACAGCACCAAAGCTTAGGCTGTAGTGCTCTATCCAACTGCCTCTTCCCTTGCTAACTCTGTGTACCTTGTTTAAAGGGCTAAACGAGAGCTGAATTAACCAAAATGTTTTGGAATGGTATGATCCTCCTTTTGCCAATGTAAATGTAATAAGTTGGGTTAAATAAGCACTGTCTTTTCGGTGGGCCCTGTACTGTTTATGTTGAATTTTCTGAGGTTCAACTTTCTGCTGAGAATTCACAGAGGGGTTAAAAAAAATTGCAGTAGCAAATCAATGTGACTATCTCCCGGCCTTTTGTGCAAAGGAAGAGCAATTTTAAGAAGCCTGCACATCTGTCAGCACTTCCAAGGTACAGGAAGAGGCCATTTAGAGCTGTCAAACATTTTCATTGCACTTTCCCTGCTCTTTCTCCATATACCTGAATACTTCCCAATTATCCGTCTCCCTTTGAAATGCCTCAATTGACCATCTGTACCTGTCCCATCTGGGGTAAGGTATTCCTTATTTGGTCAACCCTTTCTGTGAAGAAATATTTGCTGTTTTGACTTCAAAAATGCATTTTTACATTTTTCTCTGCTGATTTATGGTATTGTGACAAGAGTGGTAAGAGACACTCGAAAGGAGGCACGTTACATTGCTGCTTGCTACCATGTTTGTCCTGCTCTCCTTTTTCCTATATGCTTAATTTTTGCAGTGTAAACAATCGTTTGGGGGGATGTAGAAAGGTGTTAATCGTGGTTAGTATCGCGATTGATCTTGTTCAAAATGGGTTAGGTTAAATGTACATGAGTTTTCCTTTGTACCCTTCTCTTAATCATGACAGGACTGATGTATGGTTATATCAGGATTGGTAGGCTTTCCGCACCTCACCCAACTTGCTATTCTTTGCGTGTGAGCGGAGACAGTGAATGTTAGCGAGCATCACAGCCAAGGCTGACTTTCATCTCACCTGAGGTTACTTTAAAGAAGTAAATAATTGAAGCGTTTCTACTGCCCTCTGCCAATCTCAGGCTGTACCCAATTACCTCCCTGGATAACCTTCCAGGATCATCTCAATACCGACCAGTGTACTTACAAACTCATCCATAGGAGAAAGCAATGTGCTATATTTAGCTCTAACATTATTGTGTCGGCAGCTCTCATAAGCTTTCCACCCACTTCTGTGTGCAATCTGTGGCTTCTGTCATACACTGGCATTATAATAATTTCTGTGTTGGATTACAGTTCTTCCTGTGCCTAAGTGCAGTACCATGCATAGTCCTTCACACAGTTGGAAACCAGTATAGGTTTCAGTTGACAATATGTCTATTGGAGTGACAGTGTGGTTCTGTGCCAAAAAAATCCCAGAACCAAAGCCTTTCATGAAACCTTTGCAAATAGACAGTAACTGGAGCATTGGCCTTTTCATGACCATGTTGAATGTCATAGAGTCTATAACTTGTAGAATCTTTGAAACGTGGATATCCCTGAGTGCGTTTTTCTCCAGTGTAAGCATTTCCAGTTTCCAAAGCCTCTCCTGGTTGGAAAGTCACCTCTAACCTTATAGTATCTTGTTGGTCGGAGGTCTTGTTTTTTGTCTGCAGTATTGCTATGTTGAGGTTTTCCAATAATGAATTAAATTTAGCTCCAGGTTAGCTGGCTATGGCAGCTGTGCAACTGGTATTGGCATCACCCTGTGGCAATCATTATGGTGTGTCAATATTACTGTAACATTTCTCACATGCACTCAACTCTGCTCAAGCCTGTGACTAGCCAGGCCTGTAGCTAAATATCGCAGAGAAAAGATGCCCAAAGGAAAACTGCCTGCCTCATCATTTAGTTTCTCATCATTTAGTTCCTCATCACCTTCCACCATTTAATTAAAGGCCCAGCTCACTAAGCAGAGCAAGCTTTGAGACATCTTGAAGACGTGATAAGGCGCTATAACAAATGCAAGGATTATTATTATATAAGAGGTAATTGCGACACAATGTGCGTTAATGAATGATATCGGAGGTTCTGCCCAGTTATCAACAGCTCTACTTTATTGGCGTACTGCCATAGACCAAACCCACAATAAGCCACCTTTCAATGCTATTTCAATACTCATGTGTTTGCATCTTCCTTCATGCGAATTACCATGCAATTTTCAAGCCATTGCTGAAATAATGCAGCGGCATATTTGGGTGATGATCTCCCAAATGCTGATTGTCATCTAACACTGACTTCTTTCTTTGCCTCCTTCTGCAGAGTGCGTGATGCTCAAGCTGTTCATTTTGCAGCATTTTCATTTAATCTCCAGGTTTTCCTTTCATGCACTGAGGTTGCTTTCCCTGATCAATCGCTGCCCAAACAACATTAGCACTTGTATATCAGCCAACAAACCCAAATATCGGACAAGTTAGTATTTTGTTCCAGGTGCCTCTGTCATTATTTATGTAGTGGCTGAATAAGATGTGAATATGTAGACACTACGAATACAATCGCATGTTGAATTGCTATGCTTTGCATGCAACTTATATCATTAATTACACTTCCTGCAACTCCAGAATGCATGTTGAAACAATCCCTTTGTGGCTGTTGAAGTTGATTTAATTTGTTGTGGAGTTGACACTGAAAGATGTGCTCAGTTTTGTGGAAAGAATATCCAGGTGAAAGGGCACTCCATAACTCATTTGTGAGCGTTTCGAGTGGAATTAATTGCAAAGTTTCAAAAATAAACAACTTGCTCTTTAAGGATCCCTGCAGTGTAACTAATCCACTGGCAAATATAAAGATACTTTGCTTCAATGCACCCTCTCAATAATTTCAAGGAAAAGCTGATTTTAAATCTAATGTAATCTCAAACGATTTCTGGTAAGTTGCATTATGTTGGAAGCTCTTCACCTCATTTGCTTTGATTATGCAAGATCTGTAAGTGTGTCACACAGCATTGTAGTAGAATATGCAAGTTGAAAGCAAAAACCTTAGAATGTTAGAATAACTCAGAACTGACATGATTGATGGTATCTCTTGTATTTCCATCTTGACTGCAAATCATCATCATTTTTGCACAAAAAATTATACACAATCTCAAAGCAAATTACCCCAGTGTCTTGTCTAGCACTGCTGGGAGATCAGAGTGAGAGTTTCCAGTGTATACTGTCATGAGGACTGGAATGGGGGATGAACTTTGATTCAGATTTATAATGAATTGGGATTGAAGTTTTCCTGTGTCTGGAATGGAATGTACCCTCTTTCCCTGGAGGGCTGCTCACCGCTTACCTAATTCTGAAGAGTATTAGGTGCTGATTGGCAAGAGCAAAGTTCTGGCATTCCATTGCCAAGCATGTCACCTTGGAGCCAGCTCAACTCCAAGGAGTTCCCACTTATTGAATCCTCCCGAATGGTTCCTCGTATAGCGAGGGCACAGATAGCACATGGGCAAAGTGTGTTCATTTTGATGCATATTTGTACAGAGCATGTTTGTTGTTCATTTCGACACACTTGTCAACTATCACCATCAGAAATCCTGAGGACTGAAGTTAAACTACATTCAGTTAGCCAATCTATAGACCATGTATTTTTAATAGCGTCACTGTAGTCGGTGTTCAGTCCAGTGGATTTCTGATGCAGTGATATGAATATACTGTAAAGCATCAGCTAATTGGTCATTTGTATTCCCATTGCAATCATTAATCATTTATTCATGAACTTTACTCCCCTCAATCCCATCGTGTGTTGTGAATGTCTGATGTTAGCATTGATGCATCAAAAGAGTTTGGACATCTCCATGTTTCTCTGGAAAGGAGAGCCAGGTAAGTGATTCTTATTTTGAAAAGATTTTGTACATTTATGTCCATTCCATTAGAATCTTTAGCTGGAAGGAGGATCCCGAGTTTCCATTGATTGATTTATCTTAACGGGGAGGAACAGGAACATTTGGAAGCCTAAATCTGATCACAGCCCTTCTTGGGTAATTACATTCTGTAGTAAGAATGAACGAGTTCATTGCTGAAGGAGTTTAGTCTTTTCCCTCCTTTTCTCTCCAGAAGGCATTTGATTTATTTTATTTCTATTGGAATACGAGAGTTATTTGAAAATTATTCTCAGGTAGCATGGCCAAGCGTTTGTTCATGTGTGACCCTTGTCAGTGAATGTCGGCAGGTGTTTAGCTCTGCCGAGCCTGGCCTGTCCTCCACAGGCAAACCTTTAGCAGTTTACAGCTCTCCTAGCTCTCTCGAGCAGATCAGTTAACTCAGAAATAATTGAGTACGGAACATGGGACCTGTATGGCTCAGTTACGCATTGAATAAAGTCACTGACCCATTGTAGTATCCAATACTTTGACATTATATTCTATTAGAGAATGGTTTTGTTTGTGATTGGCTTTCACAGCTCAGATTTGATACAACTTGTTTTCTTGGAATAATTTAAGTTTGAACAATACTTGATGCTTTTATTTATCAATCCCATTGTAATTTGATTTGGATCAGTCAAACTAAAGCTTTCTAGATGTTTACCACTCTTTTTTTTACCACTGTTTTCTTTCTGTCATGTCGCTCTTTCTGTTCAAAATGAAATTTGTTCTGTTAGCGCATACATACAACCCCTCACAGCTCACTTACATTTAAAATCATTTAGATCACCATCCATTGCAAAGATATTTATCTATATCTTCTAGATAAATCGACAATTAATTTTACATTATGTATATCAGCTAAAGTCACCGACATTATGGTTATTTTAAATATACATTTTAATTTGTTCCTCATTGAAGGGGCAAAATGACCCTTTTTGTTATCCTAAAAATTAGCCCTTAAGTACTAAATACTTCAAACAAATAAGCCACCTACATTGAATTAACTGAATGAAAGAAAAATGAGTGCACGGTACTATGGAAATGTTATGTTTCTAACCCCTTGGGGTTTGCCTACTTTGCCAGCATATTGGAACTCAATATCCTGCACACATCCCGAAACACCTTTCCATCAGCCTTCACCCGAAAAATGTCTTTTCTCGTTATTACTACCTAATGCAGATGTATGAACGAAGACTGATAGAAGTGGGAATTTATTCTGATCATTGCGACTCATAAAATAACCATGTTATTCACAGCAGCTAACCAGAAATTGAGAAGGTTTCCTGCACGTCGCAGTGAAATGAAGTATTTCAGACGCTGACAAAATTAACCATTAAAATGATTTTTAAGGAAGCGTTCACAGCCTAGGCATTAAAACGTGCCCTGCATGATCAAATAAACTGTAATACTGGCTTTCAGACCATTTTGTCCCTGTGTTCTGGAACTCCCTGCTTAAATCCCTTTGCCTTGCAGGCAACAACAATAACAACTTGCACTTATACAGCGCTCTTCATGTGGAGTAGTGTCCTGGATCCCTCTCCTTGCATATTTGTGACCCTCTTTGACAATGGTTTGTCACCTTTAGCCCATCCCCTCCTGTAGGCACCATGATTGGTAATTCACGGTGTGTAAAGTGCTTTGAATATTTTACTTGCCTTTTACTTGCAATTTTCTTTCTATTATTTTTTAAAAAAGGGATGGTTTTCAAGACTGAAATATGTTACGTTGTTTAGATATTCCTTGTATCTCATCCCTCTAGTGCTATGGATCATCCTCATTACTGTCCTCTATTCTACCACTTAGGTCTCCGCAGTCCCCACTTATATCAGAATTATATGCAGTGTTCCATGTACGGCTTGACCAGAGCATTGAACTTTCTGCTTGTTAGGACTTGAAGTCATCCTGTTTGCTTATTCGTGCTTCACACTGTTTGGACGTGGATAGTGATGAGCCATGTCATGCTCTCTGGGTTTCTTCTATTTCATTACTAATAAATTCTATCCTACAGTGCATGCGTGACTTTTATTTTTATTTACTGCCGATGTTAAGTACCTTACATTTGTCTTTATTGAATTTTATTGTCAGTGTCATGCTCAGTTAAATCGTGTGTAGGGGTAATGATTCCTCGTAGCATTGTATCCCATTAATTTTATATTAATGTTTTTAAAAATGTTTCTCCAAATGCATTAAAACTTGTGTCACTGGTTCCAGCACCAGAGATGCAGTCAGACAGAAATCATCTCACTGTTACATTGCACAATGTCCTCCTGCCATTCTGAGTGATTCCAGAAGGACTGCTTGTTATCTTGGGTTCGATTCCCAGGCAGGGCGAAACTTTAGACAAGTTTCCTTACTCCACATGCTTCTGTTTACCTAGGAGCAACTTGGAACCCGGTTGTTGGTCGATTGATGGATTGCTTGCCTGGGGTAATAATCCCTTTTTAAAAAAAATAATTTGGTCACTCAATCTTCGACTGTTTGTGGGACACTGCTATGCGCAATTGGCTACTGCTTTTCGCCCACAAAATATAGTCAATTTAATTTACAGTATATTCTGTGGAGCGCTTTGAGATGTCTCAATTATGTGATAAGGCACTATATGAAATGCAAGGATTATTATTATTATCTTTGCCTTCAAGTTCTTTTTTAGCATGAGTAGTCCCCTCTCATGTTGGCCCAAGTTCTTTTATTACCTTTGATAATCTAATTCTGGAGCAATGAATTGCATTTGCAGTGACTCAAAATTGGCCCAACAGGCGAATTTCACTTAACCCTAAGTCTAAATGCTCAATGACTGGCAAGTCTGAATCCCAGGTGTGGGCTTGTCAATCAGCTGAAATTTACAGGGGCTCTGAAAGTACAATCTCATTGGTGGATCTGAGATGTGGGGTTGACTGGATGAGTGAATGGGTTTTAGTGTCCACATGACAAAATTGGGAGGGGTTGCTGGATGTATAATTGTAGGTATCATTGAGGAGAAAATATCATTTAGGAGCCCAGTATTTTTCCAAGTTCTAACCTGTCAATGTGATCCAGATATCCTGTGTTTACCCTCCACCAATGCCACGTTTGGCTCATTGTTAGGAGACACGAGTTACAGCCTGAGCAGGATGCCCGCATTAAATTTCTACTCCCTCCCTCTCCCGCAACCTGCGAGCCAGTTTCTGTGCAGCTTTGTACCCAGTAACAGGTTTGCTCGGGAAATGAGCATAGATGGGGATAGAACCTGTATCCTCCCACTTGAAGGCTCCCACTTCCCTGTTCGTTTGAGAGGACATATTGAGACAATGAATGAGAAGCTTGTAGCTATTTATATTTATCTCCGCAGTCGAGAAAAACACTTCTCTGGAATGCATTGCTGAATTTTAATTTTGCTTTTCTTCCCCCCCCCACTGAAGAGAATAGTCAGATAGTATTAAAAAGTATATAATCTTTTAAAGTGAGCTAGCTTGACAGAACAGGGTTCCGTGCTCTTAATCTTTCATACTTTGTTTTTGTCTGTTGTAATTGCAGGGATTTGGTTGACCTATCATCATGATTGCATTTGCTGCTCTATTGCCATGGTAACTGGTTCCTATATAACAGTCATGTGGAAGCTTCAGAAAATGTAGGTTCAAGTGATTTCATTGCAGAGTGCTCGTTTCCCCTCACCCAGCTGAGGAATGGTGGGGTGGGGAGGGAGAAAAATCCAACTTATAAAACGTAATTCCTCCTTGCAATGGAGTTACTCAGCTCCAGGAGCATCAGGAAATAGCTCCATAAGGAATTCTGCGGATCTGCACCAGTTCTGTTGCATTCCGATCGGAAGCACCCATGACAGAATGAGCAAGAAACCAACACTCGCACACATTTTTCGTCCCTGTGCTTTCTCTATTTCTCTATTTTCAAAAAACACACACACACACATTTACTGTGTTTAAAATAATGCAGTCCTCAGTTCAATCCTCTCTAATTGTGCACCAGAATGATTTGGATTCAATAGCATTTGTAATCCTCTTTCTGCAAGTAGAGAATCAGGATGGGTATTTATGTCATTGCTTCACCAAAGGATTGTTGTGAAGGGGTTTAAAAGGTTCCATAAAGGATCTCTTTGTGACTGACATTACTATGAGAGGACCTCTCTGCCTTGCCACAAAGTTCAATATTGCCAGTTCGCACAATAAATGACCTTGAATTCTTTGGCATCCCGCCAGTAGTTGTACATCCATCAGTTGTGTAACGTGCCTCAGAATTTTGGTGTAACCTGATTTTTAAGACATAAGAAAATGAAAGGTGCATCTTCAAGTTGCCAATAATTCTCCTTATATTGACATCTAGCTATCAGCTCTTTAATATAAGTTTACTTTGACTTTAACAATATTTCATAGGGTTACTTTACAAGAGCCAAACAGTTTACCCCAAATACCAATGTAGGCACCAATTCTTGGTATATGTGGGAACAATAGCTAAACAAGCATGTTTCTCGAAATGGGGTATAAACCGTTAAAGACCCCTATGTTTCTGTTCTTGTCTGCCAGCTAATCTTGCTTTGTTGCATCCTGGCATTGCAAATAACTATTTGTTACAATAGCTAGAAGTGCAGCATTCCAACTAGCAGGAATTCTCCTTAAATGCAATTTAGTTGTGGAGCAAAGTTATCACAGGTCAGTGAGACTCACTTTGTTACTGGCTGGAGTTGCGATTTGTGACTTCAGGAAGCGGAACCGCATTTTAGATCCCATTAAGATGTTCAGTTGCATTGTGATGAATATTATAATAAATAATCCTTGCATTTGATATAGCCCTTTTTCACGTCGGGAGGACGTCCCAAAGCGCTTCACAAAATATAAAGTGAATTGAGTGTATATTTGTGAGTGAAACGGGGCAGCCAATTGCGCACAGCAGTGTCCCACAAACAGTCGTGGATTGAGTGACCGAATTATCCTTTATTTTTTATCTTGAAGGATTATTATCAGG